ACATCATGATTTATGACGGGTTTTTTTGGTGGACTTACCGAATGATGAACTACCATACATAAAAGAAATAGAAGTGTTTGAAAAGGGAAATTCTTGGTAGACGATGTAGATGATTGAAATTGCAAATACAAATTTGATGGAAAATGGTGCTAGAGCAAATCAACGAAGTAGGATAGAAGCTTGAAAAATACAAGATGTTAAGGAATCAATCAATGAACAAGAGCATGCAAAGGGAATAGATGAATCTAAAGATCTATTAATGTCTAAGTGATAAATAAGAGCTTACAAGACCGGTACAAATTCCTTAGCAAAATGACGTGTATAAAAAAAAACACAAGAGGATGATTGACAGAGCCAATAAGAAGCATTTGAGGTACGTACAAGTTTACAACCAAAAATAAAGAAATCAAGCAGACATGAGAAATCAAGAACAAAGTATGTTAAGCTAGAAATATATGAAGAGAAAGGTACGAAAGAGCTAGACATATTTGAAATAATAGATATTTTGAATGAAGAATCAAACACTTCAAAATTCACAGAGTTTCAGATAAAGCTGGACATGACGAAGAAGAAAAGAATCAAATTAAAAAGTTAGAGTTGAAGGGGAAAATTGAAGAAGTCGCCACCGACTTCAAAAGTAAAAGAGTTAAAAAAAATCCAGAATTTTTGAGAATTTTCACTTGCTGATTTGCCACGAGAATTCTAAAGAGCTTCTTGTTATCCGCCGCCAAGTGAGGATTAATCTACAATTAAGTGTCCCAATGTGTTTGTGTGTGTGTACATATATATGGGCTTAGTGCATGTATTGGGTACGTGGTAAATGTATAAGAAAAATGAGAAAGTTAATGAGGCATATAAGTGTGTGCAGAAAATTCATATGTGAGGTGCTACCTAAGTGGATTTCTAGCGTGACTCTAAATTGTGCAAGTCCATTTTGCTAATAAAATTATTTTATTTGGTGTTTAACTCAACAATTTATTACCAGAGCGAGACCGCTGGTTATGGAATATTAAGTTTCAAGGGTTTGTGCATGAAGTGAGATTGTGAAACTTCGGTTGAGCTTACTTGATAACGAGGCGGTTATTCATGTCACGATGTACGATCTATAAGTGTTAGGTGGAGTGAAGAAGCTCAATAATCAAAATTGTCCAACATAGGAAACTTACATGAATTCGCACCTTAAAGGGCAATATTTATGGGATGTAGTTGGCGGCACCAACATGATAGCACGAGAAGCTAAAGCTTTGAAAAAGTGGAAAATTAACGCGGGTAGAGCTGTATTTGCTATAAAGATAACAATCGAAGGAGAATTGTTAGAGCATATAAGGGACACGACTATGCCAACTAAAGCATGGGACACGTTCGCAACATTATTCTCAAAGAAAAATGACTTGAGATTACAACTTCCAAAAAAAGACCTTCTCTCCATCGCTCAATGAGAAATGAAGGTAAGTTAGTATTTTAACGAAGTAAAATCTCATAATCGTGAAATTTCTGAGATTGACACTATTAGTAAAATACCAGAAGCTAGAATGAAAAGAATAATTATACATTTATTGCTACCCTAAATTAGAGGCTTTATTGCTACAATACAAGGTTGTCAAGAGCAACCATCACTGGTAAACCTTGAAAATTTGATGACTGACCAAGAAGCATTGACTAGACAAACGTTAGCGGTCTCAACAAAGAAAGAAGAAGTAGAAGCAGTTTATACTTATAGAAGAAAATATTCATCCTGTCAACAAAATAATAAAGAATTAGAATAAAACAAATATGGAGAAGGTTATTAGATATCAAAGAAATAATGGCTCATACTTTGTATGTTAAAAATTAAGCCAATATTCAAAAGATTGTTGGCTTAAAAAGGAGCAGCGGAAGGCAAGTAGTAACCTCCAACTGTAAGAGAAATAAAATAGTGAAGAAGAATAGAATGTTGAGAGAAGAATTCAATTTCAGTTCAAAGGTTGAATAAGCTTTGATGGTGGTCATCCTTGAATAAATGCATTATGAAGATGACTAATGCTTGGACTAATGACTCGAGAGAGGACATAGTGATTCATGAAGAGTCTTCTTGGTAGACTTCGCTGAGGAGGAAACTAGCATACATAAAAGAAATATAAGTCTTTGAAAGAGAAAATTATTGGCAGACACCGTAGAGGATTGAGCTTGTAGATTCAATGGAATTTGATGACAAGTTGAAGGAAAATGTGCTTCAACAAATCAACGAAGTAAAGCAGAACCCCAAAAAACACAAGATGTGAAGGAACCAATCAATGAACAATAGCATGCAAAAGTTAAAAATGAATTTAAAGATCTACAAATGTCAAGTGACAAAGAATTGCTTGCAAGATCGATAGAAATTTCAAGTAATATGATGTGTATCAGAAAACACGAGGATGATCGACAAAATAAACAATAAGAAATTGAGGTATGTCCAAGTTTACAACCACAAATAAGGAAATCGAGCACACATGAGAAATCTAGTTCCAAATAAGCTAACATAGAAATGCTTTGAATAAAGTAAGAAAGAGCTAGACCTATATGAGATGCTTTAAATGAAGGATGGAGCACTTCATAATTCATCAAGTTTTAGATACAACTGGCGTGATTGAGAAGAAAAGAGTCAAATTAAAAAGTCGATACTGAAGGGGAGAATTGAAGAAGTCATCACCAATTTAAAAAGTAAAAGAGTAAAAAATTCTATAATTATTGAAGATTTATACTTTCCGACGTGCCATGAGAATTCTAGTAAACTTCCAGCTATCCACTGCCAATTGAAGATTAAAATAGAATTAAAAGTCTTAATTTCATGGAATAAGTGTGTTTATATGGACTAATCTCCTAAACACTGATACTTAGCTTAAACACTAAGGTAACTTGCACACTACAATAGGTGGTGGGAGATAATATATGATAGAAAGTAAGAAAGTGAATGAATCTTATAAGTGTGTAAAAATTCATACGTGAGGTGCTACTTAAGTGAATGGAGTTTTAGTGTGAATCTAAAATGTGTTAGTCCATTTTGCTAATAATATTATTTCATTTGGTAACGAAAGGGGTCATTCAAGTCATGATGGACAATCTACAAGTGTTAAGCAGAGTGGAAAAACTCAATATTCAAAACTATACAAAGTGGCAAACTACATGGAGTCGTACCTCCGAGGGTAAGATTTGTGGGACATGGTGACAAAAATGTGACACCACTAGAAGAAGTTGCGTATCTGAAGAAGTGGAGAATACAAGCGGACAAGGTCGTATTTGCAATAAAGACAACGATAAAACATTTGAGAAAGAATTATTGGAATTGGAGCATATAAGGAACAAGAACACACCAAAAGAAGCATGTGACACATTTGTAGCAATATTCTCAAAGAAAAATGACTTGAAGTTGCAATTTCTGAAAAATAAGCCACTCTTTATCTCTCAAGGAAAAAATGAAGGTGAGCAATGTTTTAACAAAGTAAAATCTCTCGATCGTGATATTTCTGAGATTGACTCCACGAGTAAAATATTATAATCTAGAATGAGAAGAATAATTATACATGAATTGAGACTTGAATTTAGAGGCTTCATTGTCGCGATACAAGATTAGCCAAAGCAACCATCACTGGTAAACCTAGAAAATTTGCGGGCGGACCAAGAAGCATTAACCAGACAAATGTTAGGGATCTCAATAAATAAATAAAAAGAAGAAGCAATTTATAGTTATAAAAGATTAGGTTAATTCTATCAACAAAATAGTAAAGAATTAAAAAAAAAATAAACACGAAAAAAGTCGGAGGCTCAACAAAATTATCACAAGAGATGTCGGAATGTCAATGAATTAATGGCTTGTTTATACTAAAAACAAGCCCATTATTCTGAAGATTGTTGTTTTAAAAAGGAGCCAGCCAAAGGCAACATAGCAACCTCTAACAACAAAAGAAATATAATGGTTAAGAAAAATGCGATGCTGAGGCAACCATGACACTAATTGAGTAGGTTCTAGAGAAAAAAAATTTCAATTCAAGTCCAAAGGACGAATCAGTGTTGGTAGTGGTCATCCCTGAACAAATGGATTACGAAGATGATTGTATCGATGACTCGGGAGAGGACATCGCGATTCATGAAGAGTCTCCTTGGTGGATTTTGCTAATGGAGGAACTACCATACATAAAAGAAATAGAAATCTTTGAAAAAGAAATTTCTTGGCAAACATTGCTCAGGATTGAGCTTGTAGATTCAATGAAATTTGATGAAAAGTTGAAAGAAAATGTGCTTCAAGGAATCAACGTAGTAGGATAAAATCTTGAAAAAATACGAAATGTGATGGAGTCAATCAATGAACAAGAGCATGCAAAGGAAACAGAGGAATCTAAAGATCTATAAGTGCCAAGTGAAAAAGAAGAGCTTACATGACGGACACAAAATCCTTAGCAAAATTTTCTAGGATTATCACTTGCAATCATGCCGGAGAATTCTAGAGAACATCCTTCTATCCACACGAATTAAGATTAATTTAGAATTAAGAGTCCAAATTCCACCCACATTATATATGTGTGTGTGTGTGTATATGTATATATGTGGGCTTAGTGCATGTATTGGGTGGTGTGTGGTCAATGTAAGAGAGAAAGTGAGAAGTGAATGAGTCAGATAAGTGTGTGCAGAAAATTCATAATGAGGTGCTGCCTAAGTGGATTTTCAGTGTGAATCTGAATTGTGCAAGTCCATTTTGCTAATAAAATATTTCCTTTGGTGTTTGAACTCAACAAAATAAGCAAAGAATACAATCAATATATACTTTGGTTCACCATCATGCCTTCTTTTTATGCAAAATCTGCCCTTAAAAAATCCTTCATATTGTGGGAACATTAGGTTGATCTGCGGTGGAGGGAATAAGTCAAGTGGAATTAAGATGTTTTTAGAATTAAGGTTTCATCCATTCTATATATCTTTACATAATTCTTGATATATTATTTTTTTTGTTTCACTTTCTGTTACTGATAAATTATTTTTTGCAGGCCACGGTCAGCGATCTAACATTTATTGATCTATCATCTCTGCAAGAGAGTCTGAATAATGTGATTAATCTATAGCATCTATGCATCAATCATATAGAGGGATAACCTTTGCCAAGGCATGTTCTGAGCTTGAAATCATTCACCAATCAATACGTCTATCTGCATTTTGCATTCAGTGTTTATGGTGAAATTGAATATTTTCTATTCAGCATTTCTTTGCTTTTATGACTTGTGTTATATATAGCAATGATATTAGATTCTCCTCACTGGTTTATCCCCAAAATCCCTTGTACAAATTTTCCTACTGGTAATGTCACTTTGGCGCAACTATAATTGAAGAATTATGTTAGTGAAAGCATTCTCCTCCCCTGTTTGAAAATATTTACAATGCTGAACAATACTATATCTATATGGTATGTTCATGATTTTCCACTTTTGTTTTATTGTTTCTACATAGTGTTATAGCCATGTTTCTAGTTTTTTGTGATTTTGTTCTTCAACGAAGTTCTTGCAAAATAAATTAAACCACTCTTGTGTTTGTGATGCCAAGCATCAAACAAGTTCTATTGCTACATTGGTTGAGCTATTATAGTTTAATTTTAACAACTAAAGGACACTATCTATGTTTGAGCTTTCTTGGGTGTTGTGAACGAGTTGAATTACGTGTCTAAGTTAATCGTAACTTTGTCTGTTGAAGGTAGAGAAGAAATTGGATTATATTAATCAAAGAAGCGTCTGTCCTATCTGACGATCCTAGATTAGGGTGCTAATGATTAACTCCTTATTTAAGCGAAATCCAATATTGCAAAAAAAAAAAAAAACCTTTATTTTCTGACTGAGCAAAAGAACGGCCAAATTATAAGTCAAGAATAGATGATTTGAATTACATAGGGGTTGTTCTCTTTGTATTTTAGTTTTGTGTTTTCAATTTTGAATTCATTTTGGATATTGTGTTTTGAGTGTCCACTTTGAAATTGTTGAAAATGAGTTTTTTTTGACAATTTAAAAAATTGTTTTGAAAACGCCTAAAGCGCGTTTTGAAAATTTTGGTTTGATTATAATTGAAAACACCCAAATTTGTCATTTTGGATTTTTCTTCATAAATTTTTAACTTATTTTCAAAAACGCGTTTTCGAAAATAGGAAAGAGAACGCGTTTTCACTATTTTGAAAAATCGAAAATAGAAAACGGCTTGAAAATAGTAAAGAGAACCGGCCCTTATTTTCTCAGCAAATGATGAATGTGGTATGTTATATTTCTACGAGATGTAATGATAAAAGATTCCTCCACATAATTTAGTTTGAAGAATAACATTTAGCCCTTGTTTAGTTCCCATTTTTTTAAAAATGTTTTTTTTTATCTCTTATTTTAAACTACACATTTTTCAATAAAATAATATTATACGCAAACCCAAAACTTTTCTTTATTTTTTAATACATTTTAAACATAAAAATTGATGTACGAGGATTCGAGTCAGATGATGCCGAGTTGTCCGATAGCTCATTGATGGCGTTGAAGTACCATTAGTTGGCGGCTCAGCGCAAAAATGGTAAGTAATCAACGATCTTTCCTAATTGGAGCATTTTTTTGACACGTTTTGATATTTTGACCATAACTTTGGCTACGGTTAATAGAATCACGCTCATGACCCTAATTTGGAAAGCTATTTTCGGCACACAAGTTGTGGCCATCGAGCTTCGCTCGGTATGTATTGATTTCGAGGGCAAAATTCGTTGTTTTCCCTTTCAAATCCCAAATTTTAGTTTTTTTTCCAGTTTTGATAATATTTCGTTTGTCTTTTTAACATAGATTATGAACTCGATTTGCGCCATATTTTTGGGATATTAATTTTTTTTATTACGTGCATCAATTTAAGAAGCTCTTTTACTTGCACGCATCGTGACCACCGAGCAAAACTCGGTGTGCATCGATTTCGAGGGCAAAATCTGCCATTTTCTGTTCCAAATCCTCAATTTTAGTTATTTTTTCCATTTTTTGTAATATTTCGTTTACGTTGTTAACATAGATTATGAACTCGATTTGAACCATATTTTTCAAATGTTATTTCTTTTATTACGTACTTTCTTTTGGCACGATTATTGAGATTTTGCTATTTTTGATAAAATTTTGATAATTACGATTTTCTAGCTATTTAACCCAACTTGTGGGTTATTTTCGCATGTTGGATGAATAATAAAGATTTTTTCTTGTTTTCTTGGCGTTTTCTCTTGTATTCTTCCCTTTTAATTATCTGCTAAAATAATTGTTGTTCTGCTCGGTGTAAAAAATGAGCATCAAACAAGCTCTTAATTTGTTGTTATAATTAAAAAAAACTATAGAAAGACAATAATAAAATGAGTGAACAAGAGAGAAAAATAGGGAATCAAAATTTAAGTGTTTATTTATATTCATTATAATAATGACCAATATATATAGGGTTTCAATGGAAGTTAGAATCTTGATAAAACATATCGTGTAGAGAATCTAAGTATCTTGATAAGACTAAATAGTCATTAATAATTATCACATAATTTTAAAATATTCTCTGTTTGATGACTATTTAAACAATAACTATCCATTTAAAATCATTGTTTGATGACAAATCAGTAGAAAAAAATAAACCAAAGGAAAAAAGAATATAGTTAATTGATCAAATTTTGAAGTTTAAAGAAAATGCTGTCTCATTAAAAATTTGTGAGAAAAATCCAATACGATAGAACCTGGATGAAGGAAAAATAGTATAACTATTCCCCTTAATGTAAATCGTCAAAGATCCTTCAGTTGCCGCATTCCAAGCTCGTATACCAATTTTTTGAATAATGTCTCTAGTGCTTTTATAAATAACTCAGCCAAGTTGTCGGACGAGCAAATTTATTGAACATCATTCTAAATCTCATATGTATAGAAGAACTTAGGAGAAATATACTTTGTCTCGTCCCGTTTGCAATATTATGATTTTAGTTGTACAATATAAGCTGCAATATCTTCATACAATATTTTTGGACTTTCTTTTCTTGAAATTAATTCGTATGATACTTGGATATGATAGCTAATGTTTATCAACTAACTATACACACACTCGACATTTTTCATTGATTGTAATAATTTCATGATGATTTAAAGATATTTTTATCAAGATTTGCATTACAGCATTCATGATATAGCTATTTCTTCACGTATAAAAACAAATCTTGTTTGTAATTTAGTTTTATTTGGACCAAAGAGATAATCTGCATCGATACATCACACTAATATCCTAATTTTTGATTAATAGTACCTCTTACAAGGTAACAAAAAATATATTTAACATCGTCCCAATATTTTTGAGTTGGCGTAGAGCCATATCTTGTAAATTTACAGAAGAGCTATGGCTAATCGAGTACAATATGCACAATAGATTAATGCTTTAATTGCACTAAGATATGATGATTCAGCACCAAGAACATTTTCTCCATTTTAATTGGGCAAAATGAATTTTTTTACATAAAGTTATGTGTCTAATCATATGTGATATCAATGGAGGTGCTACATCAATATAAAAATATTTTAAAACTTTATATGTATATAAAGATTGATGAAAAAATAATACTTTCTCGAAAATATACAATCTGCAACCCAAGAAAAAAATTGATTTTTCCCAAATAATTAATCTTTAATTCATTTTTCAAATGATCCATAATTTTGTTGAGCTCTTCAAGATTTTCAATATAATTTAAATCATCAACATAAACTGTCATAATTACAAATTAAATAATATTTTCGTTATGAAAACACGTGGCAAACATCGTCATTTTTATAACGCTATTTAATCAAATATCATCTAAGGCAATTATATCATATGTGTACGTATTGTTTCAATATGTATAATGATCTTTACAATTTTATTAAGAACGTAGTCTTAAGGCCATCATTTGTTTTTGGCACTTTATTTCCTTCAGGAAAATATATCAATATCAAGTAAACAATATAGACACGCAATTACTACATGTTGTCCATTACACGAGAGTATATTTTATCATTATCGATCCCAAGTCTTTGTGAGAAATCTTTGGCTGAGAGTCGGGCTTTATATCTTGTAACTTTATTATTTTTATTTATCTTCCTTACAAAAGTTCACTTGTACCGTACAATGATTATATTTACACGGCTTCAAACGCAAGTCTAAACATTTTTTCATTTCTTAAATGAAATCAACTCCACTTGTATGACTCATTACTATTTTGGTCAATCATTTTTATGTTGATAGTTTTTAACCGTAATTTAGGATCATCATTTTGTATAATTTCATGAGCCATGTTAAAGGCTAAATTATTGTCTATAATACTATTATTTCGTTCCCATAATATATCACATAACATATAATTTATTGAAATCTTATTATTTTCTACCATTTGTAGTTTGTAAAGATCGATCAATCATTTCTAGTATGTTTTCTTTTAAAGTTTTTAGTTGATTTTTCTCTTTTGTGATACACAATTTTTGGGATCACGTTTCTATTATTCAAAAGTAATAAATTTTATGTTTAGCAATAATATGACAGAATATTGATATTAACAATTCAAGCTACTTTTCAAGCAATGTAATGTTTTTTAAAAATATATTTAAAGTTGTGCACTACATGAGCAACAATACAATATTCTCCTTGAATATTGATAGAATGTAAAGTTGTTATTTTTCAGTAGTAATGAGAAAAAATGCAAGAGTTGAAAGAGCAAGATAGTCATTGGTAAATGCAATACTTAAAGTCACATAAATTTAAATAACTTTGACTAGTCTCAAATTCCTTTAAAATGTAAATCTGATTTTTTTTTTTTTTTTTTCTCCAATAATTAACGATTGACTAGTCTGCTCAAATTTGTGTTAGCTTGTTCGTGCTGATAAAGTTTTATAAAACTATAGAGAAAGATAAGAATAAGAGGAGGGAATAAAGGAGAAAAGAAAAGATAGTCAAAATTCAAGTTTATTTCATTATTATAATGACCCCAATGTTATAGGATTTCATTATTACAATAACTAGAATTTATCTAAATATCTTGATCAGACTAAATAGTCATAAAAATTATCTCATAATTTTA